TATATATATGTAAATAAGCGATTCACACGTAGATTGTAGTCTGGAAATACCATTCATTCACAATTCATAGAAATACTTCATTCAGAATTTGTAAACTAATTACAGAGAAAGACAGCAGTAACTTTTTGAAATATTTATAAAAGTAATAAATACCTGAAGTACTCACAGCAGTGGAGTAAGGGGTATGAGCTCCTGTGTTTTCAGCCCAGCAGCCACAACCATAAAGAGCTGCCTAAGGAAAGAAGTGCATCTTTTATAAATTGAAGTACACAAATTTTTGGTATGTTACCTTCCCTTAAAAAAAACCAAACCCACAAACAAACAACACAATACTAAAACCCCCCAAACCAACAAAAAAAAAGAAACCGAAGCAAAATCCAAGTATTAATATACAAGATAAATAAGAAAATTGCAACAGTCAAAATTGCAATTCCAATTCATTTTGATTTATCTTTTAATATTTTTAAGAACTGACTGATTGTCATAGATGTATGGAATGCTAACCTAACTTTAGATAAAGTGAGAGTACAGATATTAAAAGACAAAATAATTCCAGCTCTTCCCTATTTATATAAAGTCCCTTTCAGTCTGCTATTCCAAAAGAAAATCTTAAATACATTTCAAAAGAGAGCTGCTTTTAGGGCAGTGGCAAAAGTCAAACAAAAATACAGCTGCACAGCAATGGAGTAAGTCTTTTTTGACACACTTCAAAATTCCCTCACCTAATAACAATAAAGATGTGTTCTTTTGATACCTTTGTCATTTCTACTAGTTCACAAGATGATTTCAAATTAATGAGGACAGTTTCCCTAAATATTCCCTAAATATTGATGAAAATCTATTTAAAAACACTAAGCATTTAAGAGACTCCTTGGTGGTATTAAGGAGGCATTTAAACCCAAGAAAATAACTTATTACTAGCTCTAGCAAACTGTAACTAACTATAGAACAACTTCTTACCTATCAATGTTTTATAAGACTGATGGAGGACACTAAAAACAAAACTCGCATTCCAATGCAGTGATAATGCCTTCAGAGTTTAATGGGAAGCAAAGGAGAACATCAGTTTGCTCTCAGAGCTCTTGCTTAGTGTCACAATTATTCCCAACTGAAGAGGTATAATCACCTGACCAACTCTTCCAGGATGCTTTAGTGCTAAACCTCCGCTGGAGACAGCAGCAGCAACATTTCCTTCTTGGTCAACAACAACTGCACCAACTGTATCCAGTGTTCCTGAGTCATTCTCCTGCAGGATACACAAAGAAAAACAACTACTAAAAATAGTGTATTCAAGGCAGATTATACTTCTTAGCAGTGTGCAAACTGACGAGCACAAAACCAAGTGACAGCCGGATCAACAAACAGGTTTGCTGTTCATGCATATTGTACCAATTGTGCTGCCACGAATCTTCTCAAAAGGCTCTTTTGCCTCAGACAGGACCTGAAGAATACTCCTCGGGAAATAAGAAGGTAATAAACGTCTCAAACTCATGCAGTGCTTAAGATGACCTGCCTTTCCTCACAGAGGAGCCAAAAACGCTGTTTTCTTAGTGGTGGGCACTTGTTCACTACGAAATAATTCAGCAACTTGTTCTAAAAATGCCATATCAAAAGGCTTTTCCCAAAAGGTTCAAGACAGCATTTTCAGAGACTCGGGTCTTAAAAGCTATGCATGATTTCCAAAAAAACCAACAAAATCCACAAGAAGCACCTTACCATGCAAAGAGAAAATTCTGACATTCTGAGCAATGCAACAAACAGAAGCCTTGAGAAGAAATTTCCACCAGGACAGATTCTTTCTTCCAGACTTATTCGGAGTTGAGCAATCTTTAGTGGCTTCCTGGCTGAAACCCTCTGGGTCCCTAGAAAAGCATCCTCAGTTCTATGGCTTCTGAGGCAGATTTGCTCCCCTAAGAGCAGGGGTATTTCAGCATTCCTGATGCAAGCTCTCTGCCTGCTGTCTCACAAACACTTCAGTTGTCTAACCCCGGATCTTTCTGTCCTTCCCTCCTTCTTTAACCCACCACACCCGGTCACTCTAAGGAAAACAGCAGTTTTCCCCTCTCCGCCCAGGCTTGCCCTAGATTCCCTTCTCTGCACATTTTGCACATTTTCAATGGGACGCAGCACGCAGAGTACAATAAAATGAATAAACCAACACGTGATCCATCACATACTCCAAAGATGAACACTGCTGTTACAATAGCAGAACAACTGCTTAGGAAAAGAGAGGGGGAAAATCATAGACCTAGGGTTTCCACTGGCATTGGGAAGAAGAGCAAGCTGAAAAGCAGAGGGAGGTCAAAACCAGGATCAGGGAAGGTAGGAGAAGCAGAGGCAAAAGGAATTTTGAGGACTGAAGCAAAAGGTGGTAAGAACAAGCTCCCTTTCAAGTTGTCAAGATAAAAGAAAATTAAGGAACTCTTCCTTAACATCTCATGGGCAGATGTATGTTACATCTCCCAGGACTGCCAGCCACAACCTAATTCAGTTATTATTAACCCAGACGCCCATCCTTGGAGGTTTTCACAATCAGACCGTACACAGTCTTTCATTAATTTTCCTGTGATCCTACAATTTCTATATGGAGCAGAACTAATAATACGATGCAGGTTTTGTTGCCCATCCCTTGTTCCCTTTTTTCAAAGGAAATTATACCCACAACAAAAAACTTGATTAACAGACAACTACAGATATTAAAATCAAGCCCAAAGCTCGGAAATGCCAGAATTAAGGCCACCTGTGTAATCTTAATTCATATTAAATCAAACACTTGGGCCTCCCATAATGAAGAGAAATACATATTAGAAGGATGAAACCCAGTATGGACCAGTATGTTTTCCATATCCTCTCACAGCAAAGAAAAAATGCTTGCAGCCTTCTCTGCAGCATCTGAAAAGCTATTTGCTCAGCCTGCCACCCATCTTCTGCTTTAGCTTTTGCCTGCAGAAAATATTTGCCTTCAGTAGCTATACTACTAATTTATTTTTTTTTATAAAAACACAAGCATTTACAAGTATGTGTTGCATGGAAACCTTCTTCACCATTATTTCCTTTAAAATATAGCATATTTTATATCAGTATTTGCTTTCAATTCAGGGGTGTAGTTTGCTTGGTTTAGCTTATTTTATTTTTAGATGGGGTAACTTAGGAGGCTGGAAACCTTTTCTAAGAGAAGCATAACCTGGCCCCCACAACCTTCTGCGGGAAATCTGTTTCACAAAAGCAAAGGAATTCTATATTCTCCTTCTCAGTAATACAAATTTTGGGTGTTTGTTTTTGTGATCAGAAAAAGAACCACTGCTGAAGCTATGTTAATCCTTAGTCAACTAACTGAAAACCAGTGAGGATCTGTTCCATTCCATAACCAATGGGAAAAATACATTGTCAGATCTATTCTAGACCTATTCTTATGTTCGCTCCCATTTCAATATTACTGACAGGGCACACTTCTAGATGACACCGTGCAATAATTCCGTAGTTCCATACTAAAAGACTCCTATGCATGTAAACTGTACCGACATCCCTATGATTTCTGAACCAGTGAATGAAGAGCTGATCTCAACTCCCTACAAACAGGCATCATGTGCCTGCAGAGTTTGAGTTCTCTGCACCTGCTGAGAAGACTTTCTATGTCACACACTTCATCTCTTCAAACTATACAAACATTGAAAAACACAAGACCCCTTAAGCTAGTATCAAAACATTCCAAAGAAATACATTGAACAATACAATTCATGAAGCCTGAAGTAAGTCCAAATTCTACATGGGTCCAAAAAAAAAGCTTGCTTGCCCTTATCTTTTTATGTATTTGATTCATTAATTTAACACCTTAGATTTAAAAATTTTGCAAGTTCCAAAGGAAACCTGGTTATTCCTTGGTAATATCTGTCAAATTCCATGTCTGACTTCAGCTAGTTACTGATACTAACACACCCGTTGCAAAAGCAGTTTGGGGGTTTTAACAGTGTCGTACTGCAACCTCGAAATAATCTATTATGTGGTTAACATTTTATATGGAAACAACTGAAAGTCAAGGTGAAAAGTAAGACCTCACATTACATCACACCTTGCGACAGGAAAGGAAGTTAATTTCATGAAATCATGGACTGAATATTCAGCTAAGAATATGCACACAAAGCAGGAAGATGTTTAATTGCACAACTGCAGAGTTCTATCAAGTCTATCCTTCCCAATCTTCCGTACATTAAAAAAAATTAAAACCCCATAAATAGTCATAATTTTACAAGCCCTTAAAGAAAGAATTTACCATTTAGGAGCGCTCTACCCAATCCCCATCAAATGATACCAACATGCACAGGGCTTTTCCCTCTCGACTTGAGATCGTTCTGAAATTCCATGAAAAGTAATTACTACTAAATCTCATCTCTGAGTATCATAACTGACAAAATGCAAAATGAATCAGGTGGAAGCAATTAACATCTACATGCTGTCACCAAACGATCCACACAAACAAAGAGGATTTTATATTTGATGATAATGAGATCAAGCAGTGTTTTACAGTATCCTCCAATCCAGAACAGGGCAAAGCATAGATCTAGTATGTCCCATGCCAGCACTTCAAAGATCAAGTGGGAACAGAGAGGAACAGAACAGTGGACAGCATTCTCTAGAAAAGAATACTGAAACAATTCATATATTTTAGGTCTCCTAAAATCTCAGATTTAAGGTGTTCTTGACAGAGCACTTCTGTTATTACAGCAGTGTTTAACAAGGCAAGAGGCAAACTTCTAAGCAACCAGCCCCCACTTTGCCACAACCTCCTTTCAAGTAGTTGTAGAGAGTGATAGGGTCTCCCTCCAGGCCCCTTTTCTCCAGCCTGGACAACGTCAGTTCCTTCAGTTGCCCCTTGTAAGACTTGTCCTCTAGGCCCTTTGCCAGCTTCATCGTTCTTCTCTGGTGACACTCCAGCACCTCAATGTCTTTATATGTCTTTTAAACAATCATTTTTAAATCTTTCAGTAGAGTTCAGCTTTGCAACCTTGAGTTTTGAGATGATGGATTGCATTCCTTATCCTTGCTAAATGACCCTTTTCTAAAAGCTTAGATAGATTTTTTTTAATTTTTTTTTTTCATTTTGAAAAACTAAACTCCTGTAAGGCTGCAATTATCTTCAGCTCTGCTGATAACACAAGCAGTCGAGATTGTTTGCGTGGTTTGGTTTTCATCCCCCCTCCATGGACAGAATACGCCCAGAAAGTTGACAAAAGCGGTGCATTATGTTTCTGGTTTACTTACCAGTGAGTAGAGCTCTATTTGATCACCTCCTTAACCTACCACCATTGGCTTTTGGGCGTCTCCCACAAGTGCTGCACATGACACTGGAGCCCTTGAAATTTCAAATTGCAGGTTGGTAAGCTCATGCATTGGCATATTTTTCAAGCATTGACTTGCCCCTTATTACATGAACGTCAATAGTGTATAGAGACCCCTCCTCCCTCAGTGACACTGTAACGCTGTTAGTTTCACAAGGAGGCACGTGGAGTCCTGTAAACAGGAAAAGTTCCAAATAATAACTAACTTTCCCCCCCATCCTAATGTTCTTCACACATCTTATTTCCTTGAAAACAAAAAAAACGAGCACCCTGCCAGGGAAAACTCCTTATCTAGGAACACAGAAGGAAAATGCCTCATTTATTTTTTGCATTTGCAAAGATTACAGAGGATCAAACACTGTGGCCAATTCTCCGGGATTTATACATTATTTGCATCAATATACATAGGCAGCAGTCAGTCAGCTTACCAAAGGAAAGAGCAAGGGCCAGTCTGAAAGCCCATGGGCCCCAAATAAAGCACAGACGCTTAATTTAATGAGCGATACTTTGATATCCAACAGTAAACATAAATACTGTGATTGACATTCTCAAATGGCAACAAGGGCTCCAAATTCAAACTAAGAGGGAAGGGAACAGAAGGAATCCTAATAGTCTTGCAGTACAAGTAATACGGGCCAGGTCAATGCTAGATGCATGCACAGATGCACATGTTTACCTACCTGATATTTCAAATTTCACCAATCCCAGCTCCATAATGCAGTGTGTTCAGGAAACATTAAAAAGTGGGAAACAGTGACAGAGATCCCAAGCTAAAGAAAACGTTTCAGTAAATAATTATCTGTTGGTGTTTACATTTGTCATATTTCCAGTTCAAAACAAGCAAAATATTTTTCATAGCACAAACAAGATAAAGGGACAGTCTGGTTTTCAAATAGCAAGGTAGAAAGTTTTAATCGCACTAAGTTATCATTGTATTATCTAAACATTAGGGTGGTAAAGGAGAAGTGGCTTCTGATGCTGCATTAGTCTCAGTACAGACGACATGAAATTTATTAACAATCAGATACAAGTTTAGGATGACATAACAAAATTTTACAGAGGAACTAACCTTTTCATTTGATTGTCGTCTTTTCTTTAGCTGAATGAGATCTGTTTCCACCTTTTCAGCCAACTCCAGCTTCCTCTTGTTCCTCTTAAACGCTGCCAAACTAAATCCTTAAAAAAAAAAAAAAAAAAGCATTTAACTAAGTAAAATTTACTTAATTTAAACAAATATTGATAAGTTGACATTTTGGAGGTCTCCTCCCCCGCATTTTTACTGATGCAAGAAGCATCAATTAAAAAGCCAACAACTAAGTATTTAAGTTTCAGTACAAGATGTTTACATCTTTTCCTAAGGTTCAGCAACAGTGATGGGTAAAATATCTCGTAGAAACAAGTCGCTGAACACATATGGAAGCTATGCCTGTCTAAATCTCTCTGTTTGGCAAAGAAGCAGCACTGCACAGAAGAGAACAGAATAAGTGGCTTGTGTTAAAATTATTGTTTTTGACTGCTGACAAGAAAATAGATACCATGTGAGCTCCTTCAGATATCCATAAAATTAGGCTACTATTTTATTACCTTAATTGCACATCTGTATGTTTACTCATATATCTAAAGTCACACAACAGTCTACCAATATTTTTATGTTCCATAACCCAACAGAATCTACAGACCACCTAGGTCTTGAGAAGAAAAACTTATTTTCCACATCTAAGTCCCTCATGCAGAAAGGAAGTGTTCTCTACAGTGGAGTTAAAAAAAAAATAAAATTGTTATGTTTAAGAGATCAAAATGACGTGTTTCAATTTTAGAAATCTCAGTTCATGAAAATATTGCAGATATTGACATAATTAGATTGAATTAGTTTTGACTTAATATTATCCACAGATTATTTTAACATCCTCTTTAAAAAGCAGAGAAAAGAGGAGGGGAGAAAATTTATTTTGTCATGCAAAATCAAGCATTTTTAGGAGGGCAGAGGTATACACAGGTAAGCCACAAATTCAATGCAAGTTAAAAAGTATACTTTTCCCATTTAATCTATAAGCCTTAAAAAAAAAAGTAATTTTGAATTAAATTCTCTATGAAGCTACATCCCTATTATTCAGAAGACTGGAACAGCTGCAAGAACATTCTATGAATAAAACCAATATCGCAGAGCCAACAGAACACAAAGCTTTAATTTACAATTCTCTAAGTCCACAGACAGTGAGCATTTTGCTTTTGAAAATTCCCCATGCAAGTGCCAAATCACCTAGTGAACTCTTCTTTAAATCTGTTTTTAAGTACATAAACCAGGTCCTTAAACTACCACAGTTATTCGACTCTATAGCCTAAAAGTAATGAGAAAGCTGGCATTTCTCTCCAAAAACCTAATGAATACCTGGTTCTTAAAACTGTAAACACATTAATCTGCCATCACCAAGAACAGAAGTCTCTCTGCTGTGCAGAGCTGATTAACACAACTGCTTCAGACAACACATTTCTAGATTTGAAATGAAGTCCAAAAGGTAAAAACCACACACTTGATAAGGGGGAGCAGGCCAAGAATCATTGTAGTCTCACACCTCTTAGAGGTGGGGAGGAGCAAACAAAAAGAAACTCACAGAATCTAATACTAGTTGTGTCCTGAAGCCTTTTGCAATATTTGTGTGTTCACCACACCAAAACTAGAGGACGCACAGGCTAGCTCCAAGCTGCCCCAAGAACTAGAGTGCAGCTGCAGGGCCTCTCAGCAGCCCCACTCCAACCGTCCCTTTGTTGCTACTTATCTCACCTTTTTTCCCCACAACACATGAAATTATCCAAGCTTAAGAGAGATGTTTCATTCACTTAAGTTCTCAGGCTCTAGCTAAGCAATTAAACAATTTTCAGTTTACCTTGTGCTTTAAGATCGTATTTGTCTTTTCTTAACAAGGAAAGATCTGAAGACTTGCTTTGAAGGATATAATTGTTAACAGTAACTTCTTATCTGCCTTGTTAGTTCAAAGTGGTATCAATAAGCCAGGAAATATTGAGCAGAAAGCAAGTCATTACTAACAAAGAAATGTGCATTGTACTAGACAATAAGAAACCCTGCAGTGCACTGCCTTGTCCATGTTTGCCAAATGGATGACTACCCTACAAAGCAATGATTTTAGCTATTCAAAAACCCTGTGCTTAGTCCTCAAGCATTAGAAATACTTTCAGTTCCTGGCCGGAAACCGTCTTCAAACTGTATGCTGGAGTAAAGACTTGCCATGCAGCTTCTCTCTATTGCTTTTCTCACTTTGCTAGTCTCATACACGGGAGACACGGTGCAGTGCATCAGGGACTCTCTTTACTGGATGATCAGATATCCAGAGCCCCAGGAGATGCTGTGGCGTGGTTTTTTGAGCATCTTAGGCCATGTCAGACAGGCAGCTGAAGAAAATTTTCTAGTAACATAGAATGATATAGGTTGGAAGGGATCTTAGGAGGTTGTGTAGTCTAACCTCCTAGGAAAAGGAAGTCCAATCGAAAAAGGCTGCACAGGAACTTGTCAAGTTTTGTACCTTCAAGGATGGAGATTTCACAACTCCTCTGTGCCACTGTTCCACTATTTGATGAACTTCACCTTAACAACAAATATTATTTTTTTGCAATTAGACAAAATCCCACATATACTAATTTACATTAGTCATTTCTCATCCTGTCCCCGTGCATGAGATGCCACCATACCTGAGTAATAACACACTAAAACGCACAAACACAGAACAAAGTTAAGGCAGCAAGCATGTTTCCCTACCAGAACACACAAACCTTCCCAGCTCCCTCCACCACAGCGTCGATAAAAATCACAGCTCCTACCGTGACAGACACTGCGATACTTGTCACATTGGAAAGCTCACCCTGTTACACCAGAGAGAGATATTAGAGAGGTGCCAGTCACGGTTCTGTACTTCCAGATGACGTGATTTTTTATCAGAGACAGCTGAGGGTCCTTTGTGAGAGGTGGGGAGAGGATTGTTTTGGGAAAGTTCTTTTTCAGCGTATGGAGAAGGGTAGTTTTATAACATCATGCCTCCCTTCCCAGAGTTACTCATAGGAATTAATGTATTAATTTAATCACTCTTAAGTTTTATTCAGTTTAGTACAAAATGTGATACTTTTCCAAATTGTGAGGGAAAGAAAGTCCATTCGGACTGGGAAGCCTCTTTGGAGTGCAAATTCTCACACTCAGGTTACATTCAATTTCAGAATAGTTACAAGGATTAACTTTCATCTGAAAGTTACGATTTTGTTTTAGCAAGGACTGATTAATGAGTTCCTTTCATTATTTAGGGAAAATAATTATTATCAGTAATTATCAATTCCTCTTAGGCAGGATAAAACACCTAATACCTCCAAAGTGACCAAAGAACTGTGAAATAAAGGACCAGTTTGTAAAAAAATCCTAGTAATTTCTCCTTTTTTCCTCTGGCACAGATTTATGCTCAACTTCATATGAACAGTTAAAAACAAAACGTCTTGAACCTTAACTCTGATTATTTATTTTTTCCCCAGATTAAGGGAACATAGACAAATAACAAGAGTCTGCCCTTGTTTTTGTCTTTCCTTAGTGATGTTCTATCTCTATAAAATCACTATAAACACCTCTAAATTGATTAGTACTCTAGTTGTTTTGTCTTCCTTTATTAGTGACAAAAGAAACTAGAAAATACAAATGAGCTTCAAATACAAAATGAGAGATGAAATTACAAATGAAAGATGAAATTAAATTTTCTGAAAACGTAAATTTGGTCCTTGACAAAGAATATATTATGAAGTTTTAAGTTCAATAAAACATTTTATGAACCAAAAAAACCAGGATTGAATTGTGCTTGGTTAATGATGCATACATAACATGGAAAAACAACTCACTGAAAAATCATTTTGAAAATAAGTGTTATACATAGAAGGAAAACGCCTACACTCAGTTTAAGTTCATAATTCACATTAAATCTGAAAACAAAAACTTAGCTTTGTGGTGCAAAGGATGCTAAGAAATTTCATTTGTCCTAAACGACAGTACAAGAAGTGCTCTCAGCCTCTCCAACAAGACGGCATATTCCAGGCTTGAGAAGAGGAAAAGGACACAACACAGTGTCAGACAGGCATGTTTTCCTAAAACAAATGCAATATAGCTACATCAGCCCGATGTTGCCTGTGCCAACAAGAAAGGGAAGCAAGAGACATAAAGCTTATTGACTGGGGAGAGGAGGCAACTAAAAAGAAAAAAAGAGAGGTAAGGGAGTAGATGGCATTTCAGTCTGAAAAATTCTTGGATCGCAGCCCCAAAGTACTTTTATTGCAATCTATGAAAAAGGTATTTAGTACAATACCCTTTGATTTCGCTCAAGAATTTAAAAGTTTAGATGGAAATCAAATCTGTGCTTTCAGATAAAAGTCCTTGACAGTTACTACCTTATACAGTAATAACATGTACGCTCAAACTCATTCTTAAAAGAATTGCGACTCAGAAGCCACAGAGTACAACCAGACATTCTATTTTGCTTTCTCATTTATGTACATGCTGTCATAAATAAAACTACTTCAGAGCTGCTGGGGGGGAGGGAAGGGAAGAACAAAAACCCCACAGCTTTACAAAATTCTTGTCTGTTAGTGCTTAAACATCCGCTCAGGCCTCATCCAGATTAATGACACGTAATGACTAACAACAGAAGTGTATCACAACTAGATTATTAAAAGCTCAGGACTTCAGTCTCACATTTATGGTATTTATCACGTGTCTGTGCAATGCAGTACGGGGTGTCTCTCTAACAAGGAATAATCTTCCAGGACCTGAAAACATCTTCCCAGTCACGGAATTGTCTGAGTTGGAAGGGACCTCCAGAGATCACCTAGTTCAACCCTCCTGCTAAAGCAGGATTGCCTAGCGCACATCACGCAGGATTGCACCCAGGCAGGTTTTAAAAACCTCCAGAGAAGACGACTCCACAATCTCCCTGGGAAGCCTGTTCCAGTGCTCTGTTACCCTCACAGTAAAGAAGTTTTTCCTCATAATTAGATGGAACTTCCTCCGTTCCAGTTTGTGCCCTTTGTCCCTTGTCCTGCCACTGGGCACTACTGAAAAGAGTTCGGCTCCATCCTCCTAGCACCCACCCTTTAAATAATTACAGACATCGATGAAGTCTTCTCTCAGCCTCCTC